AAGGGCTGAAGTATCTTAAAATAATTTTCTGAGCCTTTATATGGCACTAGCATTTTGTCTCCTGCCAAAGCATTTCTAGCTTTGACAAACGCTACATGGTCCAGCATAAGGGATCACACCATGAGCAGAAAGCTGGGCCAATGGTAATGTCAAGGACCCTGTGCACTACTAATAAGCCTCCTGAAAATCCTGAACCAGAAGCCCAGGTTGTGCCCGCGCAGTGCCCTGGGCACAAGGGATATGCTGTCCAGGGGGTGCAGACTGCAACATTACTTAAGCTATTGTTGAAGAAATGATAACAAAAAGCTACAGTTTATTCTCCAGTGTGGAGAGTAATTTCTTCAATAAATTATACCATTGCCAGTAAGACAGTTTTTATTGTGTGGATTAAAGCATCATGGCCCAAGGATAGTTATGTTTGCTTGTTCTTTGTATGCTTTGGCTTCTTGGTCAACAGCTTCAGGTTGAGGGGAGACAACAGCTGTAATGGAGATGGGACTTCACTGTCAACAGTCAGGGACAAGATGAGAAGTAATGAACTTACAGGGGAACACAATTAATTGTGCCATTAGAGGGTCCTTCGTTTCCAGTACTTTCAATCTCAGTAAAATGCATTATATAGCCAGATAGAAATCAGTAAGAAAAAATGCTAAACAAGTGAGGTATTTCTTTGAAATCCCAAGTCTATAATGAGCACGATATTAGCACCCTTACCAGATTCTTTTATCCATTTAATTTCACTGTATCTTTTTAAAATAAGAGGTTTAACCAGACTGCAAGGTGTCCCTTTCTGATGTTGATTTAATGAGAATGAAGAACAGTTTGTCCCATATGGATAACATTCAGAATCCAGAACTGCACACAACAGCTGGCCCTCCTATGTCCTCTGAATGACTCAAAACAAAACGTAAGTCAACTCTGTACTGAAGTGGCCTATTACCTAGGTAGTACTTCTTTTATGAGGCACAAGACATTTTAAGATCTGGACATTTCTTTGAATATGCATTGAATTATATGAAACTGACTCACAGCAGGGCATGCCTTTCCCTACTAGAGTAGTTACAACCTGAGCTGCTTCAAATTTGTGATGAGGTGCGTGTGAGTTACAGATCAGTCTTCTAGTATTAGACATACAGATTATCTGTTAAGGATAATAAACTGAAATTGCAACCAGTATTCAGCTTTTGCATTGTATTATTATAACTGATTAAAGGTACTGGCACCAATGTTTTATCTTCGATCAGTACTGTCATTTCCCTTTCCTATTATAACAGCCTAGAGTTCAGGCTTGCAAAGAAATCTCGGGAGACTCACATTCAAGAGAGGGTTCTTCAGCATTTAATTACTCCTTGCAGGCCTGACCACAGCTCAGGTTTTCCTACTGGGTTTTCTTGCATAGGGCCAAACCCCTTTCTGAAACACCCCAATCTCCTCCTGTTCAGCTCTGACCTAGCACCACGGTAGGACAGATTCTACTTTTACCCACCCATGCTTGGGGACAACATATAAGACACATTAAAACATAGTGATTCTGAACTCCTACAATGCTGACAGACTCCTTTCTGTGAGAGCAATGACTTCTATGAAAAGACTGAAGAATGCAATCAAAAAATAATTGGGATTATTAGGCTAATTACTGCATACATTTTCTACTGCTAATAGCAATATGAAACACTGCTTGCTGTTTACTGTGGGATGAATATTTAAACTTGTCAAAAGAAGTGGGGTAAAAATACATGTTTTTCCCACTTGGGATAGATGACAACTGCACACACACATATACTGTAACATTTTAATTTTTAAAATGAAATTGGCACACTATTAATACAACGACACAGAAATACCATACATGAAAAATTGCAAAATATATAATCATAGCACCCTCAGAGAGATTCAAAGAGAGTCTAAAAATCCCTCCAAGCAGACTTGATCAAAATGAGGTATTATACATGTCTCTTTTAATTAGCCTTTTCCTGTATTTAGGGTTTATATGTACAGGCTTCTTTCTGTCAACAGAGGTTTTAAAGTGAACACTTTTTGAAATGCAAAATGATATCCTCATTGATTTAGAGAAATCTAGGAATAAAAACTTCAAAAAATACCCACCTAAAATTGTGACAGTTGGCAGCACTGCAATCAAAAAAGCCTGTGAAAGTTTTCCGTGCCCATTTACATTTTTCCCTTTTCTACTAAGCAAGTATGATGCTATTTCACCAAAAAAAAAAGAGACTGCAACAAGCTGCAAATATTTAACAGTTTTGAACTGTAGCCACATTCACAGCTCAACTGTAGTAAGTTTAGAAACAACAGTGAAAAACTGAAGTGACTCCAGGATGCAAGGCCAAGTACATATGTATATGCTGAAGAGCTGGACTACCAGCTAACACTAAAGAACAGAGACTGCAGAAGTAACATTCAAAGCCTATTAAGAACACATTAAACAGTACATTAGCAAGAATAGCAGAAAGTCAGTGAACAGAGGACTTGTGGGTCATCCACTTCATCTCCTCATGTCGCCTGCTATACCACAGCTTATTACAAGAATATATAAATACAAAAATAGTGAATCAGTACTTACTTTGCATAATAAATAACTTTTCTATATAACTTGTAAAAGTACAACTACAGTAAAATCAGTGCAAAAATGGTCAAAATGTACCGAAGGAACACAGAGTGCTGCCTGCCTGCATGTGTGTCATAAACCACCCATATCACACCTACTTCATCATATACTGACAAGAATAAAAAATGCACAATGTACACTGCTAACTGCGCCATTCTACACTGCAGCTATTTACAATGTCAGACACATGAGACTAAAGCAATGCACGTGTTATTTAAACTGCACTCTTTCTTCCTCATTATTTTATGGAATTTTAAATAACTCTTAATAACTCTTTCCCCATTGACACTATGAAGGGAAGTTGTCCTATGGGTCCGTATTTGCATGAGAAGCCTTTTTGGAATTAAGAAAGTTCTTTTTCTTTTTCCTTGGAGAATTGTGCAAAGGAAGAATTGGATCACTGGGTCCACGGAACAAAAATACCTTCTCCCCTGTGTCTAATAGCTCTATGGATTCAGCAGTTGTAGTGTTCAAAGAACCAGGTGGATCAGTCCGTTCCATAGCAGGCTGTGTAGGCGAACATCCAAGATGAATGAATGGTGCTTTTTCCAAGAGGGCAAGTTGTTTCTTCTTTATCAAGCTACAGTAATCAAAAAAAAAAAAAAAATTGAAAAAAAAAGAAAATTTGGGCAAAAAAAAAGCACAATTTCCTGTGTCATATCCTCACATGGAAGTGGTGACTTCAGAAGCTAAAGAAAACAGAATTTCAACCTACAGAATTGTAATTTCCATTCCAATCCCAAATAATTCACATATTGTTTTATGAGATACAAAATTGCGTAAGGAAAGTTAGCCTTATAATAAATAAGCATACAGAAGACAGGCAGTGCATATGAAAAATATGTGAGCTTTGTACATATGCACAGAAAAATCTTTTTAGGCATTTACTATTACTGCTTATTACGTGCATTTATGAACTTATATTCTGATTTCTAACAGATAAAAGAGAAACCTTGGAGACTAAATGAAGTATTAAAAACAAACATGTATGTTTATTCCTGTTTTCTCCTTACCTGTCTTTTCTCTTGTTTAGAGAAGGGAATTTTTCCAGACTTTTGTTTATCAGATCTTGCCTTAATTTGTTCTCCAGTGCTTGCCACAACTCTTGGTTCTTCCTGAAGGAGTAGGAAAGGAAAAAATTCACAGCAGCAAATCTCCAAATAAACACACTTTCCTCCCCTTTCTAATTTTAGCTACCAAACCCATGACAGTAATACCATGAGTACAGTCAGTAAGAGCATTCAAGTATTTGCTTGCTGCCCTGCCACAAATCATTTAAATCAGCTAAGATCACACCTCAGGGCATCCTTATCTGTTCCTTGACAACTCATGTTTGACAACTAGAGGGACCAATGCCACAACATCTGCTTTTCTTCCCTTCCCATGTCATGGCAGGGAGTTGGGAGAGAGCATCTGGGAGCACCTCCATGTTAGCTGCACAGCTAATGGAGATAAAATGAAGGGATAAAGGCTTTAGGAGATGAACCTTCTCCGTGAGTAGAGGGTAAACCAGTGGCCACTTGGGACTTCTATACTGAACTACAAAGGCGCAAGGTTGAAACTTTTATTATTAGAAAGAAGGACCTCCTTTATATCATTAGGAGTTCTATACTCCTGAAATCAAGTGTACTAGAATATTATAAATACAAATGCTGGAAGGAAAATATTTTCATAAACTCCAATTAAAGAGAAAAAAAATGATCAGAACTAGATTTATACATCTATAAAACAACCACTTAACTCCAAAAGTTATACAATGTATTATCTTTTTGTCAATTTATTATAGTTTAAATATTTCATAAAATAAGGTAACACTTTCAAAGTATTTTTACCCCACAAAAATATTTCAAAAGGAAACTTATGCACCTGTGATTTTTAATATTGCTGTCAATCTGCTTGTCCGGCAAACATACACATATGCAAAGCAATAATCTTCTCTTGCAATGGACTACCAAAAAATATCATGCTTACCTTTTCTTACAGCTGCCAGACTCATCTGCATTACTGTCACTTTCAGCAACACCATCTGAGTATTTACTGATTGAATCAAGGACAGAAAGAATCTCACTTTGTGAGCTGGAGGGCAGCAACAAATTCAGGACCCTGTGCAACATCCTCATTGGTACCCGTGTCAGTTTAGCCAAATAGCCTGCCAGCCGAAGCTCCTAGAGGATCAGTGCATAGAAGACAGATAAATTTAGCATTGAAAATAAAAGAATTATTCATTATAGAAACAAAAAATATTACTGAAAATGTTAGTGGCAACAATTTTGGTGTCAAGCGGTCACAGTCCCATGGCCACTGTTTCTACCCATATATATTTTGATGTCAGTGTTAAAAAACAGCTGATCTTAGTGTAAGTGCTTAGAGCATATACTTGATGCCCTTCGGTCTGAAAAAACACAATGCAACCATAATCTAGCATGTAAGGTTTAGTTAATTTATGGCTTGTACTATTATGAAGAAATGCTTTCAAGATAGTAATGAAGCTATATAGCATTCCGGGCTCTGCAAAATTAAGGGAGAAAAAATAGCCTCTGAAACCTAATGACAACATTTATATGTTGCCAGGGCTGAGCACTTCATTGTGCAGCCTCTCTTAACACAAGATTCTGTGATAAACTCAGAGAGCAGCTTGTAATAACATTTGTTAAGAGGTGAAGGAAAAATCTGGTTTTGTTTTGGTTTGGGGTTTATTTTTTTTCCAAATGTCCTCTCTTTTTTTGCCCAAAGGTCAGTAGTAGACCATATTAACATAGTGCTCAAATAGACTAAGTTCAAATGTAGTTGCTCCCTAGACAATCAACCAGCCCCATTTCCCCCTCCAAACCCCAAAATCCTGTTGTTTTCTGCTCTGCTTTCAAAACTACTGTGTCTCCAGGGCTGTTTCTGCAGACACCTCGTGTCTGTGTAACAAATATGAAAAGTCTCCAATGTATTGAGAACTACATGGAAAGAAAAGAGTTGAGCAAAATAAAACAAGTTAAATTCCTCAAAGGATGCCAGAAAAAAAAACTGTTGTAGTCTATTCAAACCATCCATGCATCTCAGGTAGGTGAAGTTAGGTAAGATGTGCCAAATGTTCGAGATGACTCACGACAGCCGAGTCACCTCTGCTCTGCAGACTCTCCTATAAACTTGATGAGGAGATGACCACAAAGCCCATGTCACATAAAAAACCTACAAGGTCCCACCATGCTTGAAGACAGTCAATTTCTTTGTCCACAATGGATTCAATGTGTCACAGTAAATATTTGAACTCTGCCTCTTGCTTCGCATGACCAATTTCCAGAGTAGCAAACACACCCATGAGATGCCTTTATTAAATCACTCTTTTCTTTTGCAAGAAGGCATTTTACCAAAAGGATGTCCTGTAAAGGACAAATCTTTCTGCTAAATCCACGTAAAAACAAACAAAGCAATCACTCCTAATGCAGTCCTAACCCAAATTTTGATGGCCAAAAAATAAAAACCCATGACTATTCTCCAAGCAGAGAACTCCTCTCAGAAAGGAGAAAAAATAGCCATGTCCCCAAAGCTTCCTGGGTTTTACAGTGTTCTTGTTATAAGTTTTCCATGGAAACTCTGAGATACTAAAATGAACAAGACAAAATCCTAAGTTTGAGGAGAAATTAGGAAATTAATGCAGTATCTAAAATATCCAATGTCTTCACCCTAAACAGGAACTAAAATGAGGTAAAAGAGATGTCTGTTTTGGCTTAGGGCAGGAAACGGTCTGATTCTTCTCTGGAGAAGAATGTAAATAAGAGCTTTAATCTTAATACAGACACCTAATTTTAAATTCTACAGTTGTAGACACACTGTGTTGTACTTTTAGTCTTTAAAACTGTTCTGTCAGAAACTTACAAAAAACACATTAAGTGAGAATAAAAATTACACATCTCTGTGATATATTCTGCCCTTTTTGGCTGAATAGTCTCAGGACCTATAAGTCAGTAATTCATACACAGATGACATCAGTACTGCTTTCCCCTGAAATAGTTTCCTCTTTAGAACGTTTTCTCCACTCTGACCCTTACCTTTCCACATCAACAATGATTTGGGAACTGAAAGGGAATCCTTAATGCTTTTCTAACACAGCAGAATTCACAATTAAGTAATCCTGCCAGGTGCCACAATGCTGTCACCAGTACTGAAGTGGCACAGGGGCCCACTGGCATCTAACATATGTATGGCCAAGAGAGTGCAGATGTGTGAACAGGCACCAGCAGTGAGCAGCATTTCCAGATGCTCACAGCTATTCAGAGCGGCTTGCAGAACCGGGAAGAAGTGAACGTGCATGCAAATACAGGAACGGTTAACCAGTCAGACCAAAAGCGCTCCAGTGTGGGGTGACTTTGATTCTTCAGGTATATTATATGGTCAAAATAAAACCAGGAAAGAATTGTAGTTTACACACAGCAGAATTACTTTTAAGTATATGGACTGAGCAATGTGAATTTCAACAACTAAGGGCAGAATCAGTGAACTCGATCTGCGCTGTGTTTCAAGCTTACTGTGCTGTTTCCACATGGCACTCTGCCTGCATCATCTGCTGTCTCCAGAATGCAACTGGTGTACCTGGGACTATATTATGAGCTTATTTAAAAGAAACTTCTCAGACAGAGGCTTATGATCCTGAAGACTATCATTCAAGCAAATCTGTTATTCACCTAGATCTGCCTTGATAAGGATAAGCTGAAACATGCAATGTAGGAAAGCAAAAATTACCTGGTTTTCCAGAGAGGGCTGCATGCACAGTTCTGAAAACTAGCCTAAAGAGGAAAGTCCTCTTAAAAGAAACAAATGATTGCAAGATATAGAGGTACAATGGCTATAGCTTCCTAATACTTGCCAATGTACTGTGTTCCATAATTTATATGAAAATGAGAGAGGAGGGAAGAGTTAAAAATCAATTCCCATACCATACACACGATAAGCATATCCAAAAGCAGGAACATGTTGCACTCTAAGCCATAATAAATTAGTCTTCTCTAAGCACATACTTCTTTACAGTTAAATTAAGAATATTGAGGTTCGGAATTATAGTTGGACTTATACTTGCAGAGAACAGATGTTTTGTATATCTGCAGGGTAAATAAGTATGTGTTTTATGGAATTTCAATAAATTATGTCCCAGAATATCTCTGGGCTACACTTTATGTGAATAAACACAGAAACCCCAATGGTATACATAATGATATCAAATGTGTTTTTACACAAATTAATTATTTCTTCAGGGAACCTTATGAACAAAACACAAAGCAGTCCCCTAAGTATACACTGAACAGCGAGTGCAGTTTTTCAATTGCAGTGAAGTGACAGTGATGTTTTTAAATCTCTGTCTTCAAGATACCAAGATTTATAATTATCAAAGGTCACTGTTTACCTGCTAGGGTGGTAAGAGGAGTGGATACTGTGAAAATTATGACGTTTTCAGTTTATGTCTGCAAAGCAATGATTTCAACCTCTCAATTTGCAGAATACATGCCATGCTGTTCAGCAGCTCTTTCACAATGCATCTATGCCCAAGAAATTTAACAACCATCACAGAAGACAATTAAATTGCCGTAACCCAAGAGGAAATAGTCAGCAATCTGGTACACCACTTAGACACACACATGTCTATGGGGCTAGATGGGATCCATCCAAAGGTACTGAGGAACTGGTGGAAGTGCTCCCTGAGCCACTTCCAATCAGTTATCAGCAGTCCTGGCTGCTGGGGAGATCACAATTGACTGGAGGTTAGCATTCATCTTAACATGGCACAAATCTTGAATTCATGCCTTTATGAGGGAGGTAGATGCTGAGGCTCTAGCAGAGACAACCAAGCTCAAGATCAGCAGAAAAACATTTCACAACATCCTTTGCAAGATAAGAACTCTTCTGCTGAGCATCTGGCTTGTTACATGCATCTTCTTCCAAAGCTTCTATGCCAAGAGTATGGCAAGATAAGAACCACAGTATGAGATTAATGCAGTCTTCATGCTCTCTTTTAAGAATTCCCACTTAGTGCTGACTGGTTTTGCCAGCTGATGAAATTGCTAAATAAACACTGTACATGGTCTCTCCAATTAGTCCAAGATTGCAAGGCAACAGCAGATTTAAAAGTATTGAAATTAAACTATGATAATGGTCTCAGTAGTGCTAATCTGGAGGAGTTGGTCTGGGCTGTTAAAGCCTTTATAATGGCCAGGGATGCAGCATATTTTGTCAGATAAATATACAGTGAACTAGGGAAAAAAAAACCAAATCCCAGCAAACAGTATAAGAAGAATTCAAAAGACTACGGCCAACCAAGACCTTTGATTTAACCCACACTAGTACAGAGAAAGATCAGCAAAGGCCAAAGGACCTTTCAAAGCATTTTCAATTTTTCTATCTGCTATAACGCTTATTTTCCACAGATGTGGAATGGAATTTATTTTATCTAAGACTTAACTTCTATTTATCATATTTGGGATGTACCTGAAGCACTGTATGTTTCAGCAAAATATTCACAGAAGCCTCCCTGTTTCAAACAGAAAAAAAAAAGGAACATTGAACATGCCAAAAGATCATCTTTCTCCCAGAAAAAAGCTCTGAATCTTGAAGTATTAGACAAATGCAACTAAAAATGGGCAAAATAAAGCCTCTAATTTCATAGTGCCTCTAAAAAGTGTTATAGCTGTCACTGCCCACATCACCATTCCAAAACTGAATGAATAATGAAAATTGTGGGTGATCATTTTATGCAAGTTATTTTAAAGAAGCATAAATGAATACACATAAAGTTTAAATTTATAAAGAAATAAAGATTAAAGCTCACCATCATATGAATATTTACATCATAAATACCATATAACCATATCAAGGTTATGATAAATATCACCTTATCAAAGGCCTGCAGCAGAAATTTTTTGCAGTGTCAGTAGGATGCACTGAAATCCCAATAAAATATTAGGAGCTTTATGCACAGTAGGTCATTGGGGGCAGAAAACAGTGGGAAGGAACTAAAGGCTGGAACAGAATTCAGTAGCTCCTGAGAGCCATATCTGCTTAAAATATCCAAAACTGTCAAGGCTGACAGGATAGCAAGCCAGTTTGAAAAAAAACAGTTGCAACAGGAGGTGGAGGGAAATCAAAGAGGAAAATAATAATACTAATAATACTAAACACACACACCCCCTGCCCCCAAACTCTACAGCAATATATAGCTTGGATTTAAAACTGGAAGGCTGGTAACGCTGGTCATGACCTCTTCAGCAAACACCTCCAACTGTAACACTGCAAGACACACCAGAATGTGTTTTTGATGTTTCTATTATTATGCCCACAGGATAGGATGCTCTGGAAAGTGTTAAGACAAAGTCTGAATTCCCACTCTGAGTTCTTCTATTCCAGGACAGAGCTTTAGCCATAAGGCTGCCAGATATTCAGAGGTAAGGAAGGACTCGCAAAAGGACTTGACTCTGAATGGAGCCTGAGTGTCCCCATGAGAGGCAGAGACTGAAGGGATTACCACCCTCCAGTGAACTTTAAGAGGCTGTGATGCAAATTCCTTACCTAAATCAGAGTACGGGTCTGAAAACATGTGCTACCTTCCGGGTGAATATCCTAACATAGAAAAAGTATACAAGAGTCTCACTCCAATTCTTCATGAGAGCAGCTGACTTAAAATAGACATCTAACTCGGGAGACAACAGAGTTCACAAAACTGAGCAGAAACAAGCTAAGGCACAGGAAAAGCTGAAAGACCCTTAGTCTAAATGATTCTTCCCTTTGCTTGCTGACTTCTGAAGCTCTGAATTTATGATTCATGTGACTGCAACCACACTTGCTCCTGAGAGGAAAGATGTTTGTATGCAAAAAGCTCCAATGCTGAGTCACTTTTCTAACACCAGTTACTATCTCAACCAAGGCCTGCAGATAGCACTTGAGGACAGCAGTGATTCATTTTTAACGCCTTTTGTGAGACTGACAGGCAGCCAATACCTGAAGAGGTGACACTCTTCTAAAAAACGCTATGAGTAATGATACTAGAAAACTTAACTAGCAGTCTGTCTATCTTCTAGTTTTGTAACACAATCAATGCAACCATTCCTGATTAAAACCTTGTCCTGTTACATGAAAATCAGACTGTAAATCTACCTGTAAACCAGAAACTTGGGCAATTTAGTTCTCTACAGAATGAAATGCAACAGGAGAACACCCTGAAAGGATTTTTAAGCGAATAACTCAGTAAAATTCAAAAGGCCGAAAGCAGGTCAGAATTAAATAAATGATAATATAGACAGCTAACAGCAGAACTGGGAGCCACTATTAGCAGATAGTCACTCCAAATACACTTATAACACTTCCCAAAAAAGAAGAAAAGCTTATTTTCAGATACAGCCTTAATTTAAACTTGGCAGCTTTGCTCAATTTCATGCTTACCTGACTATAAAGTGCCAATAATGCATCCATTTCTATATTTTCCAGGAGATCTTCAAGCACCACGCAATTCCATTGCTCATCTCTCAAGCTGAAGTGAAAGACAGAATTAATATTGAAGTCTTCCCAGGCGCAACAACTGTATTACAGAAAACAATATCTGAAAGTCATCCATTCAGGAAGCGTGACTTCCTGTCAGCAAAGCTGGGTGAACAGCGTAACTTCTAAAATAAGCCAAATTCTTTTCCCTTCTTCCCTGAACCACCAAACAAACATGACAGCAGAATCTAAGGCTATGCTCTTGCATGCAATTCATATCCAGAGTTGCTCCAATGTGACACGATTCAACCTGTCCCCATCCTCTTTAAATTTCATCACCACAGTTTATGGCAAGTTGTGGATCTTTATTGCTGGAATATAATAGTAAAGAGCTAATTCCCTCACTAGTGGTGGTTTTTTTTAGTTTCTGGACCGAACCATGAAGCCATCCTCGTGTCACTTGGTAAAAGTACAAAATTTGTTTCTTCCATTAAGTTTTCAGGTAAACAGTAAAGGCTAGTTGCTGTTTCTTTGAAGGCATCACTGAGCGATCTCTACAGTAGCATCCACAAATCAGTAACTACATTGAGTAGAGCTCCAGCATGTTCAGAATTGAAACAGCCTTAAGAGTGCTGTAACTCTGCTCAAAGCCTCTCAAAGCCATTTTAAATATATCAATTGTTTCACAGAAATTCCTCTTTGTAATGGAAAACATCCTCTCAGGATCATACATGTATCTTGAAATGTGGTAGGCTTTTAATACTGTACAATACACATAGAAATGTAATACCTAACTCCTGTAACCCTATTGAAGGTAATACAATACTTTGCAATTTTGCACATTACCACCCATTTTTGTTAGGCAACCTTCATGACCAGACAGATATCTCTATATATTTTTTTTTTGGTCACTGATACCTTTACATAAAAATGGGCCAGGGAAAAGTGAAAACTGAGCCTGTCTCTAAGGAAGAGTTTATATATCCTATCAAAAATGACTGTGTGACAGGGAATTCAGTCTACAGTGTGACAGTTGAGATGGAAATTTAATTTAAATTATCTCAGTTAGTTCCCCTGAGCCCTGCAGATCAGGTTGCTACCTATCTTCTTTGGAGTCAAAGGAACAGGACTGAAATTCTTCTCCTCCTTGCTGCTAAGGAGTATTATTATTTTTCCACTATCGCCATCAAGAAATGGTGATTGCCATGCAACACAGCATAATCTATACACAACTAGGTTATTATCATTTCACGTTTCTTATTTCAATATTCCCAAGATTCCTCAGTTATGCTCTGGGCTACATCACAAAAAGGCACTGTTCAAACACATGCATAGTTCCTCCCCAACAGCAGAATATTTAGCATGCTGTTTGTAATTATCTTATGGTTTATAAGGACTGCTTATAGAACCTGAGACCAAAGGACTTACCTTTGCTGATGCAGATTTATAAATTGCCCACATTTATTCATAGCCTGTCTTAGCAGAACTGTCACCTGTCTGTCTGCATTTGTTTCTACAGCTTCACTTGAAAGTCCCAAGCCATCCAGACTCCACCTCTGTCTGCTCATTAGATGGTGCTGCTGCTGAGCTAACTCCTTATGCAACATCTCATACTCCAGCTTCCTGTCAAGTTCTTCAATCTCCTACAGGGTGAAAAGACGTAATGATAAAAAGTCATAATTTAACTTGGAAGAGCGAATTTCATTTGGAGACGAGAAAAAAGATGGTATCAAAATTTCTGATATTATTCATTTCTCATTCTACCCAGCCACTTGCAGTCATTACACTTTCAAATTCATTGCATGGCTTCGCCAAACATGACTTGCAGACCAGGAATATCAGAACAATGCCAAAAGATACGAGTCAATTTTCACTGTGTTAAATGTCAGTGCCCTCTGAAACCTTCCACTGTAGAGGACATCTACAAAGTACACTATCAGCATGGCTCAGATTCAAACAAAAGAATGGCACCATTAGGATTCATCTATAAGCTCTATAAAGCCTCTGAAAAGAGCTTGAGAAACTCAGACTGAGTTAAATCTTAAGCAGATTTAGTTCTACTGAATAAACACCTAATACCAATGAGTTTTATGTGAAAAAACAATAATTCACATTTAGTGTGGTAAAATTAGGGTTAAAATACTATGCTCTTTGGGTTAAACACCAAAGTCTTAATAAGTGGACTTTATCCCTCATGACGAAGATCTTTCTTTGGTCAGAGTCAAACTAGACATCAGAAGGGAAGTTCCATAGTCCACTTTTCCAATGTCATTGTCTGACCTGAACCTTTTAAGTTCCTTAGTATCTCAGTGCCCTATTTCTCAACTTGTATCTGGAGAAAATGCTGAATTTTGATCTATTCCTCCATCCCATCAGCTCTATTCAGACTACAGATTCACTGGAGCACAGCATCTTTAAGTAAGTGTCTGCTTCCTGGTCAGCAAGATTTGACATTAGTGCTTAGATCCAACACCAAAATTGGTTATTAACTAAGATGATTAAGGGAGTGGAGCATCTCCCTTATGAGGAAAGACTGAGGGAGCTGGGTCTCTATAGTTTAGAGAAGAGGAGACTGAGGGGTGACCTTATTAGTGCATATAAATATATAAAGGGGGAGTGTCACGAGGATGGAGCCAGGCTCTACTCAGTGGCAAACAATGATAGGACAGGGGGTAATGGGTACAAACTGGAACACAAGAGGTTCCACTTAAACTTGAGAAAAAACTTCTCAGTGAGGGTGACGGAACACTGGAGCAGGCTGCCCAGGGAGGTTGTGGAGTCTCCTTCCCTGGAGACATTCAAAACCCGCCTGGACACATTCCTGTGTAACATTATCTAGGTGCTCCTGCAGGGGGATTGGACTAGATGATCTTTTGAGGTCCCTTCCAATCTCTAGAATACTGTGAAACTGTGAAACTGTGTAACTTGTTATCTCTAAGGGGATGAAGCAAACTCACAGCCACGTTTGCTTCACTGATTGGCAAAACAATCACTGATGTTGTCAGCATTAGGGCATCCTCTGTAATCTGATGTATTTGTTTTAAAGCAACAGGTGTTAAAATTTGCCAGATAGTTGGACAAAGGAGTTAGACAAAACCACAGCAAGAGAAAGAGGTTTCATCACCAGGAAACAGCCCCTGCAATCCAAGCCTAACAGGTTCTTGAAACAATGCCTAAAATATTTTTTTCTCCAAAATAGGTCTTAAATCAGTTCATGCACACTGGATAAAAAAATCCAGCGTTAGCTACTCCAGGTCTCTCTTCCATCCCTCCTTCAATTCTTTTTCTTCATCTGTTCAAGGACAGACAACCTAAAAGCAACCTCTTCCAAGAGCTGCCTTACTGCATAAAAGGCAGTAACTTCAGATTAAATTATTTTTATAATACTCTGTCTACATAGAATTTCACTATTTTCTACAGATTTTCTACAAATTTAAGCAAAGCTGGAATCATATAAGCATTCTAGCTGCCATGCAAAGAGAAACGCTGTAGAGATGAAAGCATTAAAATTTAACCAGGAGTTTTCACAGCAATAGCTATCTAATGATGCCCTCTAGCAAAGAGGTTTTGCTCTTAAAAACCCATTTTGTCGGTTCGACTCCAGTGCTCTCGCAAGCCTCACTTGGATGACTGCAAACAGCAGATGTAAAAAAAAAAAAAAAATCCTTTTGAATACAAAGCACTGAATTATTAAAAAAGGTTCAGAAAACTGGCACACACCAAGTATATAATAAATACGATGAAGGGAGGCGGCCTTTCCAAAGTTTCTGCTATTTAAATGGTGTAAATGCGCTTGGAGGGAGACAGAGACAGGTAGGAGGCTGTATATATAATCTTTAAAAGCTCAATGACTTAAGCATATCATGTGGTTATGGATTTTACCATAAGGATAGCAATATAACATGGTCAACTTTGTAACAAAGTCATGACAATTTACACACTATCCCAGTCATGACTCACAATCACTTCCCAGTTATCTTCCTTGCAATCGATAAGTCACTAATAATAATTAGCCATCAAAATACACTGTAAATCTCTGGATGCCATTACAATAAAAATAAATCATAATGATGCACAGTCATTCCTGGCTCTACTACTGTTTTTCGCTTTATTCCTTTAACTGAGTGCATTAAAGCACATAATCACAGAAATTAAATACTGGACAACCAGGAGCTACAAATCAGCACAGCTAAATCAAGTCAACTAAGCTACTGTGATAGTTGCTGTCTCCTAAGAGGAATTTTTCCTTTTCACGACTTCATTACTTACAGGGTTGTGTGCTTCTAAAATCTGAATACATTCCAGTTTTGACAGGGCTTTTGACGTGCTCAGTTGTTCGAAGAGCAAAGCTTGCACACTTATGATAGCAGTATACAGCTCCAACATTTTGGATTTTTTAACAGTCTTCTGAAAAGCTAAAGCAGCAATATACTCTCCAAGTTTATTTTCCAGGTCGCGCAGCTGACACTCTTTCTCAAGCAGCAACTCGTGCTTAACCTAAAAAATACCAAACCACAAAAGATAAAAAGGTTAACAGAAAACCTCATGAAAACCTCATCATGCATGCCCATGGTTTTATTACTCTGTAATTAACAAGCAGGTTAAAGCATTGAAGAAATCAATTCTGTTATCTTACAATATAATACATTGCTTTAAAAAGTGCTTTTGACATTAAATCCCAAGATTTTACCGTGTTTAAGTGATCAAAAAAATACTACAGTATGGTCAGACATTTCAAAGAGATCAGGCTTTGTTTTAGGGTAGTCACAACTTTAATATTAAATACAAACCTAAAATAGAGGGTCTATATAATTTTTAATATAAGTAAAAATTAAAAATACAAATAAACCTATGCTTACCTATGTGGTTGGTTAAATGGGAAGATAAAATACATCCCTGTTTTAGCAAAAATACAAACTTTCTAGAAAGACTGTAATTACTAGCAAACTGGTAATAAATACTGACCAATGAAATTCAACCTACTATTCTTTAAACAAATAACCAAAAATCTTATGTAAAACAAAGTTAAACTGTAAATCAAAAGTAATGGATTTCAAACAAGATTAAAACTGGATTGAATGGACATCAAACAGGATTAAATCAACATGATTTAACTCAGTATCTATGTCGCTGCCACACATTTGATGGGACATCCACGGAAACTATCCAAGGGTGAAAGGCAAATACAGCATGTGCAAGCACACGCTCAAATGCAATGTGATTGATGAGCTTTCGACGCTATAGCACTGATATTCATAGTCAGCGATATTGCCACTGTAACCATTTTTCTGCAGCACAGGGTGGACTGCACCCAACTGCAATTACCCTCTTTTACATGCTTCCATTTAAGCTTGACATTTTAAGTCAAAGCCAAGGAAAAGGTACTTATCTGTATGTTTTGTATCCTACAAAATGTGTTTCCAGTGTCATATAGGTATGGATGTCTAAGTTAGGCACTGCTGCATATCTAACACTTGGGTAGATAAATCCTCAAAGTCGGGAAATAATTATCAGTTTAATTTCATTCTCTCTCCCTTTATTATCAACATGGCTCCAAAAGTTGGGACTGTGAGACAGAGAAGACACAGAGAGAGAAAGCACATCCAACCACTGGCACAAGTTGCCTAGAGAAGCTGTGGCTGCCCCATAGCTGGAAGTGTTCAAGGCCAAGTCGGATGGTCCTTTAAGCAACCTGGTCTAGTGTAGAGTGTCCCTGACCATGGCGGTGGGTTGGAACTGAATGAACTTTGAAGTTTCTTCCAACACAAACCATTTTATGATTCTAAGAGAGCTCCAACTCCATTATTTGGTGTTGGTATCAACTACAGCTTTTCACAGTGGACTTAGAATAAAGTTAAGCAAAGAAACAGCCATCTATACACTGCTGGGTATCAGAGGGCAGGGTTTTTCCTCACTACCTCTAAATTATCTTTTGGTCTTGATAAATCTAATCTGATAGGTTTCACAGCATACAAAAAAAAATAGAATTCTCAGAAATTAGCATTTTACAGTATTATGTATTTTAACAGCAGTGCTCAAGCAACAAGTTTACTATCACTGTGGCATCTGAGCACAGACATTCACATTTGCATTCTATGGAAAAGTATTTATCTCATGAAGTTTCAGCCCTGTCTTAAAGAACAGGCAGAGGTCTGCTCTTTGAACACAAAACATCTGTATTTAATTGAGATACCTACACAGTTAATACCTTAGCATGGCAGGCATCCTGTGGTATACCTTTATACACAGAATCCACCTGTCTATGGTTTTGCAAGTCAATAAAATAAGAACAATAAAGACCTGCAAGCATGAACTACAACACTGTAACAGGTCAACCAGAGTCTTTATATATTGTATCTTCTTCCCATTGGCACAAGACCTGATTTTGCCTCTCAGAGTATCTCTGCACAAATAGAGACAGTAGGTACTCAAAACATTAAAACCTTATTAGCTTTCTGTTCATGCTAATCAGAATTACACATTATTGACTCCATTAACAATGAGCCTTAAAGGAGCATTTAAGGAGACTTCCACCAAGTTTTTAGACCAATAAGATGATAAATATGTAACATAATGTGCATGATTTTTCTCTGGAAATTTTGGTAAGAGATCTGCTAAATGCTATTACGTATCATACCAATTCTATTATCCAGTAGATAGAGCGAAATTTAAAATGTGATTTGGAACCAAATATACTTGTGATAGTCTCATGCCCATGTAATATTCCCCAAAGTCTCCATTATATCACCTGGAATGTCCTTGAATGCAATGGATGAAAGGTAACCTTCAGGAAATATTTCCCCCTAATGTGAATTAAACCAATTACAAGACAAGAGTAAGAAATCATTGTACAGACACAAACTGGAGGCAAGATTCATTTTCTTGATATTTTTAACAAACCTCCATCATAAAAGACAGTCACTGCCTTTCAACATTACTGTTGATCTAACAAATTGATCTTGAATAATGCAGGTGTGTGACACTGAATAATAAGTAAGCATACGTGTTACAAATAAACACCTGTGATTTTTGAGTTAAGAGGAGAATTCAACCCCGGGATTGTATTGGAAATACACTAACTAAAATCCTGAACACTAAGCTGTTATTTTTGAACATGCTGGGCAGTGACTGAAGAGCAGAAGAGATGGCCAAAAATGGGAGTTCATGGGAAAAGAGCCGAGATGCCTTCCAGCACTTGCTCAAAAAGAACCCAGAAATACCTATTGCTTGTTTCTATGTTTCACTTATCAGTAGGAAAAAAGTCAATAATAAATGATTATGATGACTATATTTTTATACATATCTTCTACATTCTGTGCAGGTAGGCAAGAAACCTATTAAAGAGAATTTTGGGCCTTTTGTTTTCCTAAAAACAAAACTTGTTTTTTAGCAAAGAGCAAGTAACTTTAGTATCTCATTTAAACTTCCACTTCAGTAGTTGAGAGGCATTCAAAGGTGTAGGCTGTACTCTGGCAGTACTGACAGGAAATCAAAGATAGAAACTTCTGCAGAACATCCTACAGGTCATGACTTTGATATAGATTGCACAAGACTGCCAAGCCCACTCTAACTCAGTTAGTTCTGGTTTATGGTCTACTGTGAGGTGCCGGGGTGGCAGGGGGGTTGGAACTTGATGATCTTAAGGTCCTTTCCAACCCTAACTATTCTATAATTCTATGATTTTAAAAATCCAAAGTGTTACTTCAACATATTCTTATAAACCAGTGATGTAAGACTAAGACCTAGAACTAAGCCTATTCCATACCTCAGAGCCAAGGTAAATATTTAAAACAAAAAATAAATAATTAAAAAAATTACATCTTTCTTCAGAAAAAAAATAATCTTTCTTCAAAAGCCTGTGCACAAATAAGATTCACATTTTTGTTCTGAAAGGCATGTTGAATTTATTGTTGTACTACTGATCACTGTGACACGAGACAATGTTCTCAAAAGCAACTGTCAATTTTCAGAGCTGTATTGTCAGACTGTTAAATTTTTTAAGGTCTCAGTTGTGAAGTTTCCATTTACTTGCCTCCATCCCTCTTTTCATCAGTGAAAGTTGTTCCACTTTTAGGTGATTCTTAAAGAGAATACCAGGAGAAATAGCTTCTAAAGGAAGGCAAGGAATTTGTATCTGATTCAGCCATTCACTCAACACTTAGCTAACAAGTTGCTGTCTAGTAAGATGCTCAGGGAGATTCATCACTACAGCAGACATCACTTTAAGGGGCAATATATGTTAGAAATGAACCAGGCTGGACAACTAATGCCATAAGCCACCTTTCAAAACTTTGGCAATGTTGAGTTTTGATTTGACTTAAAAGCAGGAAAATGAAGATGGATGAGAACCACCAATTTTTTGTTGCAAGAGACTAAATGATTTATATTATGATTTTTATCACAATAGCATCTATTCAAGGAACAGGGGGGAGGAAGGGGAGAGGAAATTCAAGCAGACCCTCCTCACTAGAAGTTTCCAAAAAGACTAATGCTTTAGAGTCTATGTGATGCTCACTATTCAATGTATTATGGCAGCCTCTTAACTAATAAGAATATTGCAACACTACCAGCTTGAATGAGTTGTGACAACATGCGCACACCAAGAGCTCATCTTTCTTTTCTTCCAACTTTTAGTTATATGTCTAAGATATTGCCTACCAAAATACACAAATTTTTACAAGATCTCCAGAAAGGGGAAAATATATGCTTGAGGTATGATTTGTTTTATAAGACAGAAAATTAGTAAGTAATATCTGAAGGCTGCCTTTGTGGTTTAGGGACAGGAAGTGCTCCAAACCTCTAAAAATGTGGAAAATTACACAGAAATGTTTTGACAGGTGTGTGCACACCACTGAATTTAAAGTTCAGCATCAGTTTAAGCTTCTTCACAGGAGGCTCAGTTTCAGACACAAGGATTTTAAATGAATTATACATATTTGAAATCTGGGGATAGATGAATGAATAATGAATACATGAATGGGTAAATGAGTGATCACCTTTAGTGTAAGTTTGAACCCATTAAAATGAATAATGAATAAGGATGGTAATGCAGTATGACAACTCAAGTTCACTTATAAGGAGACACAAAATGTGTATTATAATTGCATCTAAATTAAAAGGCAAGAGATGCCACTGATGAAAGAAACACTTATACTTTTGTCAACCACTTAAATAACAGGGATTTTATATATGTTCAGTATATTCCATAAATCATAAGATTTATGGTCCAAACTGCGAAACTAGGTACTATTTGCATATTACTATGTATGAAGCCATGTGTTAAGCATGCCCAAATACAAGGGATTTGAGGAAAGGCTCAGACAGCTGGGATTGTTCAGCCTGCAGAAGAGAAGGCTCCAGGGCATCCTTACTGAAGCCTTTCAGTACATAAAGTGGGCTTATAAGAAAAATGCAGTCAAACTGTTTTGTTGTGACAGGACAAGGCGTAATGGTTTTAAAAAGAAAGAGGATATAAGGAAGACATTAGTTTATGATAAGGATGTTGGAGCACTGAAACAGGTTTCCTAGACAGGTGGCAGATGACCCATCCCTGGAAATATTCAAGATCAGGTTGGGCAGGGCTCTGAACAACCTGATCTGATGATGTCCCTGCTCATTGCAGGGGGGGTTTGGACTAGATGACCTTTGAAGGTCCCTTCCAACACAAAGTATTTTATGATTCTACGGGAATGATGTTCAGCTTTTTCATTCAGCATCTATTCAACATTATACAGTAAAGTAACTGCTTGTAACCAAATAAAATGTTGCATTATTCAACTGGTACTACTATCCCTAGTCACCTGAGTTTCTTCTGCCTCTTGTCAGCTTTGAAATCACAGCTCTGCAAACAGAAATACATTTGTGAAAACCAAAGCTTGCAAGTACATCTGACTTCAGTGTGACACAGAAAGCAATTTCAGTAGAAGCTGGATCAAATATTAATTACAAACTAAATTATAAACTAGTTATAAACTAATATCCCCTGGCCATTCTTGAAGCCTTTTATTATATCAGAGTACTGCAGTACACTGCTTGATATCATATTATTTGACATATAGTGTCAGACTACTTTGGTGATAGTGAATCCACTCTCATAGGTCTGAACATTTGCTCTTGATTCCACCTGAAACATTCAAACTACACAAAAAAATTGCCAGTGCTGTAAATGCCCTATGATTAGTCCATTGCTTTAAAACACTGACTTTTAAATCCCATATTTAGTTCAGAATAATTGCTAACTAGTTCTGTCTCAGTCCTATATATTACAAATAAAGGGAATAATCTGAAAATATACTTATTTACCTGCAACCTTAAGTCATTTCTCAAGCAAATATTATTATTGGGTTTTGTAAGCCCAGCAGGGAAAATAGACTAAAGAATGAGGCGTTGACGGGTGGAACTAGATGAGCTTTAAGGTCCCTTCCAACCCAAATCATTCTAGGATTCTGTGATTCCATGAATGTTGGCATTTTTACTATTCTGTTTCTTCTGACATAAATTAACTTCTATTTCGGAAAGGAAGAGCTACTTCCTCACGCATAACCAGAAACAGAATCATAGAATCATAGAATAGTTAGGGTTGGAAAGGACCTTGACCTTAAGATCATCCAGTTCCAATCCCCCTGCCACAGGCACGGACACCTCCCAATAAACCATGCCACCCAAGGCTCTGTTCAACCTGGCTTGAACACCGCCAGGGATGGAGCATTCACAGCTTACCCAGGCAAACCATTCCAGTGCCTCACCACCCTCACAGTAAAGAACGTCCTCCTTATATGCAATCTAAACTTCCCCCGTTTTAAGTTTTAACCCGTTACCCCTTGTCCTATCACTAAATAAGACAACTCAAACCAGCTACAAAACACAAAAGTAGATAACGTCTGGTTTTGAAGATTTTCACAGTGAGGTCAATGATTCTCTCAGATGCTCCAAGATAAGGCATCAAACTTCCTGCCGTAGCTTCCCAGCTCATCATCTCCTATGAGTTGTTCTCTGCTGTGCCTGTTTTACCGTGTCACAAAACACACACTGCTGCTGCTTTCATAAGCATTAGCTGGAAACCATTTTACAGCCATCCTGTAGAGAGACAGAACTCGACACCATATGAAGTCTGCAGCAGTGAAAGCAGGTGAAATATAGCAGAGTTGTACTGCTCCATTGTTCTTCTTCCCTGCTTGAACTGGCTATGCAACTTCAGATGGTTAATTTTGAGGAAGACGACAGAAGTGTTCATATGAATGCAAAACTTAGAAGTGTTAAGATTCTAAATGAGGAATGAGGTAAGAAACTCTAGCAGCAAAAGAAAGAAACTCTGATTCTGTGATCAACATGAGGTCAACTGCAATATTTCTGTGTCCTAATGTGGGACACATATTCCATATAGTCCCACCATATAGTGGGAGGTGTCCCTGCCCATGGCAAGGCAGTTGGAACTAGATGATCTTAAGGTCCTTTCCAACCCTAATTATTCTATGATTCTATGATTCTAATGATAAAGTGTGAAGTAACAATCTTCCTTAGTAGTTTAGCCTCCTTACTAGGAAAAGCCCAAAGCAACTGGCTTTTTGTAACTAATGTGCAGCCATACAACGCAAACAATGGGTATGCCAGGTGGTACATATAAAACTTAATGAGGCCTAGGGAAGCTAAATTTCCAATTTTAAAACAAGATTCTAACAAAAATGGCAATATTCATACCAAATAAGTATTCAGTACTTGTAAAAAAATTTAAAAATATCTAAATTTTGGAGGTTAAGGAATAAAAAGCATAGGAAAGAGGTGCAAAACCAGATTTTTGTCCAATTTGGTACTAAAATAGATACTGCAACCATCTGTGAAACTACTTTTTATCTACCAGCGTCACCTGCTTATTCTGCATAGCTGTTATAGCTGTGCACCACCTATGTCTACCACAGTTACCATTGCAATACTCCCCCAATATACAAAAGTAGTATTACCCATATTTTACAAGTGGAAAAGAGAAGGAGAGAAAGGTTAAAGAACACAAACAAGACCTCATGGAACATCTGCTGGCAGAGAAGGTATAATCTTCCAAAATTCCATATTGGCATTGGTCCCACTCATTCCTTAAGGATTGACTATATACTGGGGCTGGTGAGCCTTTTAGAAGATAGATACCCACCAGAATCAAGCTCTCTTTCAATAAGATGTGTACAAATAAACTCAGCCCTTACGCAAGAAGTCTTTGATCTAAGAACCCATTCCAGGCTTTTCAGTAGCATTAGGAGACATTAAAGAACTAAATCTTGCTCAGTGAAGTATGCAGTGAAGCACCTTCCATGTTTTGAAAGCCTAACTAGGAAAGCCACAGGATCTCTGGGCATTATGCAATCATGCATGTGCCAAGTCCCAGAACCACTGGAAGAAAAAAAAGGTGACACATTAAATCAGTTCTGTAACTAAGGTGGAAAAGTTAAAACAAAGTTGAATCTCTTAAACCTGAAACTCAACACCTTTATAAAAGCAGGCAAGAGTAGAAGCATGCATCATGCCACCACACCATATGCCTTTTTATCTGTTTCTTATTCACACATATAGAAAACTGACAGTCATTAATTACTAGAGATTGTTTTAGTAATGTAGAAGACACTTACCTTATTCAAATTTTCATCTTTCACAGAGTCTTCATAAATGAAAATTTTGTCCTGTAAAGATTTCTTCAAAATATCCATCTTATTTCTATTCCTGGATCCATTTTTTTTCACTTTAGAATGCGGCTGTAAGTAGATGAGTACGAAATGCTTTATTTGTAAGAAGTATATGAGGACGCTAATGTTATTACTTGCTATTATTGACAGATCCACCTATTAATGATACACGTCAAGGATGACATTAACTGAGAAAATGTTTCTGAAATGAAGATGCTGCCCTATTCATTCAGAAGACTCCTTTCAGACAAAGTTGCTAATTACCTTTTCTAATTTCTTTCAAAGTAAAATTATATATTCATCCTTTCCATGAAATCTGCTAGCACACAGATTTGATTTTAACAAGGTTTAGCAGTGATAATAAGAGTTTTTAACTGAAACAGTCTCCTCAGCATGGTTAAAATGAACAAAGAATATTAATTTAAGAACTACATTGTTTTTCAAGACACAGTATATGAATCACAACTGAACCATGATAGTATTAAGGGGCAACACTCCATGTAATCAAATTATTCTTGACCTTTATATTTCTTTACAAGAATATCAACTAAGTATAATGTACTCTTGGGGAAATGATAACATCTGTTCAACTATAAGGCTTTACAAAGTCAACTCCTTTCTTTAGTACTTTAGAAATTATTAAGGTCTTGAACTAGGCTAATTCCTACTATAATTAACCCAAGTTAGCTTACATGTTTAGAAAACATAACTGAACCAAATCAAAGCAAGGGAATGTTCTCCTTTTTATGATGTTATCAGATACAATTCATAAAGGAAACACTTCCCCCCTCCTATTTAAAGAATTGAAAATAATTTATGATTTTTGGTTTTACATTTTACTGAAGGAATTAAACATCCTTCACAGAGTTCTTTAAAAAAAGGCTAGGTTTTATAGACAGATTCCTTGTTGGAAATATCTTTCCAACTCTGAGTATGCCTTATCTTCTACATATTTAGATTTGAAATAAACAAACATAAAGAACAACAAAGAAAACGCACCCTAAGCCACAAAACCCAACCCACTGTATATGCCCAACTCTTTTGGAAACTAAAAATGGAAATGAAGCCCAAATTCTTGCTAAGCAAGTCCAACTAATTCAGGAACTTTGGTTTCGCAAACTAACAAGACAATGCATGACATTCCCTTACAGAAACTCCTTGATTTAGTGTCAAATTTAGCACTGTAGGGGCTGCCAGGAAAATCTTCAGTCTATACTGTAAAGGACCCAACTTGTCCCTAGTATTCAGAGCCAGCCTCAGTGCCGCTCAGATTTTTGGCATTTTAGTGGACTCCCCTGCAAGATGCAGCCCCTTTTTGCCACCTGTCTGCTTCCTTGTAACTATGCCACCTTCTTGGGAAAGCTGGAGGACATGCAATCAGCAGAAATAATATGCAGATGTATGTGAAAAAAATGTGTCTAATTGATGCCCAATTATCTTTAAGGTCCACTGGTCCACGCAAACAGAAGAAATGTGCACTGCTGTCACACCTATGAAGAAGCTCTGGACCTGTATATGCAGGCAAGGCCAACAACCTGCAGACATACCAGAGAACCCTTCCACATCCCCACACTGATCCTACATCATTCCCACCTGTTTACTGGTCACTGCTAAATTCTGGTCGACTTTCAGCACCTCCGCATCCCTCTGCTCGACCTCGAAAGCCTGAAGCAAGGTTCTCGCTCTTATTTTGGGCCAAGCTAAGCTGCTGTCCACCTGAGAGAAGCAGCAATGCAACTCTTGCCTCATTCTACGCAATTCTTCTTCTGATAGTGAGAGGGGTAAACTTAGAAGCTGCCTGTTGAAAAAAAACAAAACAAAAACCATAGCCTTTTGCTGTTCAGTGATATAAGCATAAAATGTAAGAGAATACACACAGATACTTTACATGACAATAATAATCCTTTTTTTGTCTTATTCATGTAACAGTTAATGAGCCAATTCTGAGCTGCTTAGTATGTTCAAAATATCCTTGAGGATACTTTAAATTCTGCATACAGAACTTCCTGGACTGTAAAACTTCATTTTCAAGGGGACACAGTTTTTGAGTATTCAAAAAGTAAATAAAGACTTTTTAGCACATTTCCTATGCACAGAATCTTTCCACTTCCACAGACAATACAGTGCCTGAACCTAGGGATGAAATCGAGATAAAAGCTTCCCATAAAGCCTCCCTGTGCTGCTTCCCAGAACTCAGCACTCACAGCTACTGAGAGGGGTAAAATATAAAATGAAAAAGTCTCTCCTTATTACAAACTTATACCCACTATCGCTCCCATCACCCACCACAAGGTTCCAGCTCCTTTTTGTAAAAAAGCTTTTAGCAGTCTGAACAACACTGAGTATATTTTAGCAGTAATTTGAATCACTCAAAGTTCCCATTTTGGGTAAGGAAGGTTACCAACATAAAAGTCTGGGGAACTGATTCTCAGGTCAAGCTGAAGTTGACTGAGCATGCTAAAGCCTAAATTCACCTTCTAGTTGTAAACAGCCTTAGACTATACATCTTCTTATCTTGTGATTGAAATATTTCCTTGAAATATTTAATAAAAAATAGAATACTTTTTTATTTGGAAATTTTCTCTATTTCCCCCAAAATATATTTGAATTTAAAGCATGAATGGGTATTTAAAAAAGTAGTTTTCTTTTAAAAATGTATTATACAATACGTTCCATTAGGACTAATGCTTTTATTCAGTGTATCACAGGCCTATACCACCTCATTATTTCATTGACATATTTCAATAATAATGAAATATACTGAAAGTTAAATATTTCAATATATTAAAAGTTTAGAAATCCTTATTTCTGTTTACTGATTCAGCAAAGAACAGCAACATCCTAAATTAAAACATTTTTACTACATGAAGTTTGTATCTTTGAAAGATTACTCCCTTTAAGGCAATATTAGTCCAAGCAAAAGTATTTACAGCATACTTAACCATTTCTCATGGTTAACTACTTCTCAAGCTGTCTTAGGCTTTCAGAAGAAAATCCACACTATGTATCCATATGTACAGACAGATATATAGACTGAGATTCAAAGCTAACACAGAAAATCAGTTTTGTCATGTCTACGTTTAAAAAGGACTTTAAACATTAATGATCTTCATATACATATTTTGGACTAACTCACGGTCCTTTGATAAGCAATAGAAATGAAATGCTATCATTCAAAGTAATTTTTTGTGAAAACCAGATATCAGATGAGAACATGAACATGACAGCTGGCATCTGTCATCAAAATACCAAAACTGACAGACTGAGCATAAAGTCAGTGACAGATTTTAAGGGGCTTTTGGTAGGACAGTTGTGGATTTTTTGGATCTATTTCCCAGTATTTTACTGGGAAAAATACCCCAAACATCTTACCGTAGCTGTAATAAAGATAGCATACAACTGGTGACACTGCAGGCTGGAACACAATTATCTTTAATTGTAAGTTAGTAACAGGAAAGACCTACTGGGTCATACAATCTACTTCCCTGGTCCTGCAGGTCTTCTTTCAGCAATGCAAACAAAGAGATAAGATAGCTAGAAAATACATTGAAATGGCTTACAGAAAAGTATTTTAAATGCTGAACAAAACATAAAGTGCTTCAAATTAGAACCAGGAGAAAACACAAATGGATTTTTCTTCTTTAGCAAAGCAAACGTAATGGGCAAGATTTCTTTTTATGTTTCCATTATAAGGTTTTAAATTTTGTAGCAGGCAAACATAAAGATGTTGTCTGGACAAAACTGCCCATCCAGATCTGCTTTGCTTTAAAGAAAAGGTATGAAGGAGAAACTTCTGCTAATGCTTCTCTCCCCTCTAACCCTGGTTCAATCTCTCATGCTCAGTTTGCATTGTATTAAGGGCAGACAGGCTAATACAGTTTTCCCTGTTCCAGTTGCTTCCCCCAAAGCTGCAATTTTGCCAGCAGACTATTTTTTCATGTTCCTATGTCTCAAGCAATGCCTGTTATTAAACAGCCATTGTATAGGAAATGTAGTACTGTAAATATTCAGGCAACAAAACAACTAGTCATAAATTTATTCTAAAACTAAGGAGAAATGCTGCTGAGCAGTGTCAGTCTCTCAGGGCCTTGCTACCCAGTCTGAGAGGCACCATGCATGATTACTCTTGGCTGCAGCCATCGTCTCTCTCTGCACAAGGTCTCCCAAGGGTGGCAAAGTCACTGCCCGTCTTCCCAAATCCCTGGGGTCATATCAGAGCAGGTAGCAACAGCCATAAAGTACAGCTGGGGCCAGCAAATCTCTCTACAACACTGCCTGTGTCATGATGCCTCTCTGACTTGGGGTTCAGTGCCAAGGGCACTTTAGCAGCAGGCCAGACTGGCCAAGTCTGATGCATGGTGCCCATGAGCTGGAAAGGTGAGACTGCTGCACTGTGTATTTATGGAATATGTGGAAATACTGTGGCAGAGCTCAAAATGAACCTGATGAGTAAGGCTTGACTTGTGTCTGCAAGGAATATATCAAAACTGGACATGGGGCTAAGTAGGCCTGACATACTAAATGACATTTCCAAAGTGCTGGACCTTTGAGAACAGACTAAGAATAATAATGAAAGATGTGCAAGTGAAACCCATCACAGAGTAAACACGAGTACAAAAATACCATTCCATGATTTTGGTTTCAAAACAGCTGTTTCCCAGGATTTCCATTGCAGGGCTCACCCACAAGTGCCACAGGGGCTGAGCACTTGCAAACAAATCAGTTCTCAAGTGCCCGACAGAACTGACCACTAGGAATCATACCTGGACATGTCTGAAAAGTCCTAGTTCATCTCTATTTGCAATAATAACTAAGAAAAGATGCAGAGAGATACTTGCATGAATACTGATTGTTCCCAGCTCCTTAATTTTTTTTGTTCCAAAATGCTTGTTTCTAACTCTTGGCTTAGCTTCTGCCTGGTGAGCTGAAGCAGCTCTTCAGTGGCTGCGCTCTTTTCATGCTCTTCCCTTTCAAGCTGCTCATGTTTATCAACCATCTCTTTTTTATGCTCCTCTACAGCTTCTAGCAGGAACACCTTTGGCACACTGAGCTTTACCAGTTCTTGCACAAATACTCCACACTGAACACGTTTAAGCTCTTCAATGGCTTTCTCTGTTAAACCAAACACAAGCTCTTTCAGCTCTTCACTGGCCTCATTGTCAAGTTTTTCAGTAAGCTCTTCAAATTCAATGGTGTGATCACTCAAAAGATTTTTCCAGTGGCCCAGGTAGTGAGTGACCTCCTTAGTAGTTCTGAAGGTCTCTCCAAGGGACAGCTGCTCCTTCCGATGCTCTTTCTGCTGATTCATTTGCAAAAAGGAAGAACAAGGTTAAGAGAAGGAACATCTCAATTTCTACCTCTTTAAGCATGTATTCATAGCAACGCAAAATCTCATACTTTGGTCTTTCAGTGTTCTTGAAACTACTTTTCAGTGTTCAGAGACTTACCCAGCGCTCAACATGATGGCTTTGCGTGCATCTAGCAGGCCTGTGATGTCAGACTGCTAGACAGAAAGGCTAACACAGACCTGTGATAATCTGGATGGCTGCTCAATAAAAGGGCTGACACCTAAATAAATACATGGATCTATATTTATTTGATATAATCCAAACTGGCTGAACTGCAACAATCTGGCAGCATTCCAGAAGTGAATCTGGATCAAATACCAAGGAAGAAAAAGAAGGAGCAGGGAAAAAAAACAAATATTAATTGGAAAGCTAAACCAAAGCTACCTATACTCAGTAAAAATACAACAAATGAAGTGCCCATCTTTATACCTGCTGTCTGTCTTTGCACTGGTAACCGTTAAAGAGCAGAAAACACTGAAACACATACCCTGCAAAAGATAAAATCAGTCTCACCTAACTTTGGTCATCTAAAGAAGTATCACCTAATCCAAGAAAAATTTTTCTTCACTTTTTAGGCAGAGAAATATAGGGACTTTTGGATAGCAAACTCCCTTTCATTTATCTCAGATCATTTGCAAGACCTCTGCCATTAAGAGGTGATTTGGAGCTCTTGGAGTTAGCCTTGATTTCTAGATGTCTGAGATGAGGTGACATGAGTCCTACACAAGCAACCACAGGTACAACATATTCTAAATAGTTTTGTAGCTGAATTTTAACTGTGCTGTAGAAGACATTTAAGACACACATAACCAGGAAAACCACAAAAAATGACTACTGTCACAGATCTGTGTCATCTCTCTCACCAGCTCCAGAACCTCATCTGGCTTTTGCCTGTCTGCACATGCCAGAGGCTTGTCACAACCCCCCTGGACAAGTTAGACTAAGTACAGGGGCTTCACAAGTTTCTCCAGTTCTATTACTTTCTTGTATGTTTTTCTAAAAGAACAGCCATTAATTACTACATGATTACAACAGCATATGGCGGTACAGAGCTAAAACCAATGGACACTTATTTTCATCCATGCTCCTGGCAGCGCTGATCGCTGTTATAAGAATTACACTTTATTTTGCAATTCATTCCATTTTTAATTCATGGCAAGTTCTGTGAAAATAAATATACTGAAATTACCTTTTGCAGCACTTCCCGCCTTCGCCTTGTAATGAGTTTCTGGCGAAGCTTTTGCTTTTCTTGTTTTAAATCATGATCGAATTTCTGTTTAACAGAATTAATTTCAGCCTCAGCTCGGTCCAGCAGCATCCCCAAATGACATTCAGGTAGATGACCTGCCCTGTAATAACAGTGTTTGAAGCCTGTTATCCCAAATTCTTAAGAGGAAAAGGATATTTGAGGCAATTAGTACCATAATAAGGTTCAACACAGTAGCTACACAGAATGATCCTTGTTCTTTCAGCAGTGATACCTGGGGGGAATCAAAGAAGCAAGTGGATAATAGAAAGATAATCTCAATGATTAGTGTAGGTTTGAGACAGTTTTTGAAGGTAGAATGAAAGTGTATGAAGAAGGAACAGGAAAAAGGAAGGAAGGGAAGGCAAATGCAAAATCATTACCAGTCAGTAATATAAGCAATATTCAAATGAGACATTTTAAACCTTATCTATTATTCATAATATTTACATTTTTCATTTAATGCCCCTGGAATGCAATTCCAGATGTTTTTTATAACTCCTTCTCCTCATTAGGAACAATTTTTCTTTGAAGGATGTAATCTAATCAGGGAAAAACAATTAAAAATTATTTTAAAGATATCAAAGCAATCATATCCATCAAAAGATTTATATTCAGATTTCCTATTAATACATCATCATCATAATTATAAAGATTTCAAAATAATAGTGAAATAAAGTAATCTCTGGTCTACCTCCAGTTGCTACAGTATTTAATTTCAAAGAGTAAGCAAGATTAGGTTACAAAAGTTTCAATCTCCACAAACTCAAATTGAATTTCAAGAATTACCTGCTACTTACACCATAAATTCCTCAGACATCTTAATTCAGACCAGACTGTTGGACATTTGTGAGTTCTAATTTATAAAATTGAGCACATTGGACTTCTAAAATGTGGGGCTGAAAATTGTCAACATGGAACTCTGAGAAGAAAGCATCAGTTCTGGACCTAAACTTGGAATGTTATCCAAACAACTTCTGGTTTATTTTTTTAAATCCCCTTTTTTCAGAAGATACGAACATTACACACAGTGCCTGGATTCAGATGAATTCACATCTCTCCACCTACTGCTTAAGTATCCACAAGTATCTGATGAGCCACAAAGCGTCATCCCCTACATAAGGAATGCACTAGACAGAAACTCAGGTCTGCTGTATCACACAGTTATATCGACAGAGGTGGCTTCCCTTTGCAGAGCTTTTCTACTGCTTAGCTATCATATTTCTTTAATCTTCTGAGATTAAAGAGGATTAAAGTACCTCTCCATACCTTGAAAGCAATGCACCAGGCATCATTCCTGGACCTTTCAGCAAAGTAATTGTTTCCTTGAAGCAGCCAAGACTAAATTTCAGTGTTATGTCAAAAAAAAACCAACAGCACCAAGATTCCAGCTCACATTTGCTAACTCTAAGTCTTGCCCCCTTTTTGATCAAACCCAAGGCAAAACAATGAATAAAATGAAGATTTATTACAGTGACAAAGTGAGTCAAGTAATAACCAAGATCTTTTTAACACCTTCATCTTGTCTTGTACTGGGGAAATAAACCTAGTCTTGCCTAATCCAACTAAAATCCCTATCCAAAGTAGTGAAAAGGGTCTTCATAGAAAAACATAGATGTGCTGGAACTACCTAGCAAATGAGAGTTTTAAGAAAAACCATGCAACACAGAATGACTGGGAAATGATATATACCTACCTATTTTTAGGAAAAACAGGAATCTACATTACTTCAGTTTCAGGCTGTTGATTTATTTAGAGATCCAGTATGTCCACAGCTCAAACTGTAGGCGACACAGTATTGTAAAACCCATCTACCTATTTATTTGGAATCCCAGATAACAAAAATAATGGGCAAAATGCCTTCCACCACAGAAGTCTATGTGAGTTTATGTGGCAACTTGTATTAATCAGTATTACGGAAATTACTAGAAGGATCAATCCTGGCAAAAGATCTTAATTTTTGGTTTCATATAAACACAGTATAAAAACAATTGCAGTATTAGAAGTAAAAGACATCCTGTTCCCAAAGGACTCTGAACTGAAACACAAAATAAAAGGAGACAGATAACGAGACAGTATGGACTGTATGATAAACTGCTTGGTCTCAGCATACCAGACATCTAATCACTGAGGAGATGTGTAGGCAAATGTTTAATGTCTTTGAACAAGGAGAATTTTAATCAAGGAGAATACTGCAGCAATGACAGGGATATTTACAGGGAGATCCTCCCAAATGCAGTGAGCACCAAGGAAGGCACAGAGATGAAGTGAGTGCCCAACAGCAGCTGTAGGTCAATCAGAGGCAGACCTTCACTTCACTATACAAAACAGATGCTAACAAATTTAGGAGAAAATATGGAGTGACGGCACTAAAAGTAGTAGCAGTTTGTAGCTGATGCCACAAGAGAACTATGTAAGGGATGGTGGACCCCAGCAAAGGAAAATTGTTTTGTGAAAGTAAGAGAAGGCATGGGAGTATCACTAAAGCAAAAGGGAAATAGATGTGAAGCAGAAAAGTTGTACCAACCTGGATATATGTGGAGGTTCAATCACAATACTATACAGAAACTGTAGAGAGTGAACCTGTAGGAGTGCCCACGCTACTCCACTTCAGCTACTTCAGAATTTCACCTGCTGAACTGATATCTTGCTAGATCAGAATTCATGCAAATACTTCAGAGCAATAAATGCCCTACATAGCAAGCACTATGAGCAGAAAATGTATTAAAAGTTTATTAGATAACTTTATACTGATGCATTACTGCTGGAGGAATTAACTTTCCCAACACCAGCTTCCTGAAAAGTGCAGCAGGACACTGTTCAGAAAACTTCTTTGCTTATAGCAAGGTCCATATAAAGGGAGACTATCCAGAAGAACAAGCCCAGTATGAGACATTTTGCTTTGACCTTTTAAGGAAGTCGACTGACCACTTTAAAAACACAATACACAAGATATTCTTGAGGTCTTATAAAAACTAAAATGTTTGGAGACATTTATATAGGAGTTTGAGCTGTTTGTACCTAGTGAGTCACAAGAACTAGATTCAGTTTTTAAGGCACCAAAGAAGGAAGGAAAGTTCCTGTGAACAAGCAGGTACTGGCAAAAGAATAATGCAACAGTTACAGCTGCTGTAGTTCAAAAACATTGAGCATTTCAATCTCTCTTGACTGCCGGAACAACCCAGGATGAATGCTGCCCCAGGTATTGCCCATGAAGAACCTAGGTAGACATCCCTGAAATCTATCATTACGGATTACATTTTAAAACTTGCTTTCCTGCTTTTTGGCACTGCAGTCTACAAACTTGATTTTTAAAAGACACTGAATACCCACAAGCAGTCCTGACTAATGGGTCATTTTATTTAAATACTATATTTAAAAGCCCAGCTTGAAAATTCTGGCTGCTCTATTTCATTTAAAAACTCTCCCTAGAATTGGTTTTGGTTTATTTTACTTTTTATAACACTTATTTCTGACCACACAGAATCTTATCTTAACCTGAAATTGCCTTGCTCTCTGATAAATCTTAAATATCCTATTAAGTTCCATTTTTAAAAGACCTCTCCCCTCATCATTTATCTGCTGGTTTATGTATCCCTGAAACTTTTTATCTGTGGTATATGTAATCTACATCTCTTCTTAGTGTCTCTTCTCCATTGTCCTGGGTTCAGCAGTAGCAGTCATGTTTTTTCCTTTGTGTTAGCTGGTGCAGTGCTGTGTTTTGACTTCTAGTTTTGAGAACAGAGTTGGTGAAGCCGATGTTGTCGGTTGTTGCTAAGTGATGTTTACCCTGACCAAGGACTCTGTGAGGCTCATGCTCTGCCAGGGAGGAGGGGAAGCTGTGAGGAAGCAGAGACGGGGCGCCTGACCCGGGCTAGCCGGGGAGGTATTCCATACCACAGCACGTCATGCCCGGGGTGGGGGGTAACTGGGAGTTACCCAGAAGGACAGGAGCTTCCGGGTGGAACTCGTTTTCTTGGCCGGTGGTATCGTATTCTCTTCCCTTGTTATTTTCCCTTATCATTGTTTTAGCTGATAGTAGCGGTGGTGATTTGTTGCTGGACTGTTCTTGTCTCAACCCGTAGGAGTTGCACTCTCTCGATCCTCCTCCCCGTTCCTCCGGGAGCGGGGAAGGGGAGAGCCCCGGTGCAGGGAGGGGGGGGAGACGAACACGGACCTTGATTGTTGTCAGCTTGGCACCACTCACTGGGAGTGAGTGAACAAGTTACCTGACTGGGTTTAAACCACGACATCCATACACACAGTTCTGCATTTCAAAATCCCATTTATAACAGTAAGTTTAAAGCACACTATTAAAGCTGGACGCAGCAGATTAAGACAGACCAGTATCTATATTTAGACAAGCAGATTCAAAGCTAAAGTATTGCTGTTACTGCCCAAATTTTAATGCTCTTATTTGTAAATATTCTCTCAATCTTTTATAATTAGAAACTGAAATGCAAGCCTTTCTTGGGGTCTATACTTGGATATTTCAGTATACCTGTAGGAAAAAAAAAAAACCAAACCAAACCAAAAACCTAGAAAATAATCTGAAATACTACATTTTGGAGTTTTATAGTCTCAACATCTAAAGAATGAGTAATAACATAACATTATGGCAAATATTTGCCTGAAAGGAATTCCTGCAACAACAGGTGTGGGAAGTTACATGAAAATAACTAATTCTAGTCCCAGAAAGCCAGATAAGATCACTTCTCTCCAAATGCTGTCTCCAAGTATGGGCACATTTCCTTTGTCCACAGAGTATTACGACCATTGCATACTCTGAGAAGTTTAATAGGGAAGAATTATTTTTTCATTTTGGTAATGACATTGGTGGTTTTGGAAGTTTTTGTATAGCATGATTTGGGGGCAGAGGGGCCTTAGTATATTTTTTTTGATGGGATCTATGAAGTCTTGCATTACTAATACTACATGTTTCCTCTCTGTTTTGTAGTTGATCTGTTTTGTGACTGTTACGTGCAATAGCAAGTACTAAACAATACATGAAACCTGCTTTTCCAGCTTAAGAAATTCTTGGTGTTCACTGCAATGATTTAATCCATGGATCCAGTGGTCATACACATGACAGTTTCTCATGAAGGCTTTTCACATAACTGTAACGTTTGAGAAAATGTCTCGGACCATTTCTCTTTATCGATTCCAAAGAGAGGCATGAACTAGTGAAACAGAACTCTATGTGAAAGATGTGTCTCAATTATATTTCTTATGACAAGACTTATTTTTGTCTTTGACCCACACAGCTGCAGATGTCAGCAAAATAGGCAGAGCAGAGCAAGCATACTGGAAGAACCTCTCTCTGATCAATGAATCTTGAGGCTAATCTTAGGGTGTGATTCCAAAGAGGCAGCACAGAGGAAAATGAAAAAGATCAGCAAGGAAAAGTTAGAAAAAACCCAGTTAAATGACTATTGTATTAACAGACGCAGTCTTTGGTAGCTTTTAACAGTCTTCCTGCTCCCTAATATTAAATTCCTTTCAAGTAAGTCAACACTATGAGAAAAGAAACACAATGTAAAGACTGGTATTTACACATGTCCTCTTACTGCATGTTCCATATGTTGTTAGTGACTGACACCAATATAAACATCTAAAATATACAAATAAACCTGCATGCACGGGATTAACAGCAGCAGTGATAAATTGTTTTCCTGCTCACTAATGTATTTTACTGCACTGGCATGCTTCTCAGTAATCTCTCCTTATGACAGACTTAAGATACACCACAATTCTCTGGGCAGCAGCAAGAGATCTCTCTCAGTAATCCACACTGCCATGTGTGGTCTTTGCTACTGTCCTGGGTTCAGCAGTAGCAGTCATTTTTTCTCCTTCTTGGTAGCTGGTGCAGTGCAGTGTTTTGACTTTCAGCTCGGGAACAGAGCTGATAACAAGGATGTTTTGGTTTGGCCAAGGACTTTGTGAGCCTCATGCTCTGCCAGGGAGGAGGGGAAGCCAGGAGGAAGCAGAGACAGGACACCTGACCCAAACTGACCAAAGAGGTTTTCCATACCACAGCACGTCATGCCCAGGATGTAACGGGGAGTTAGCCGGAAGGGCTAGGAGTCGGCAGGGTTGGAGGAGGTATCGGTCGGTGCTTGGTCGGGCTGAGGGGGGCAAGTTATGTCGGGTGGTGCTGAGGTGTTGTATTCTCTTCCCTTGTTATTTCCTTTATCGTTGTTATTATTGGTGGTAGCAATAGTGATCTGTGTTATACCTTAGTTACTAAACTGTTCTTATCTCAACCCGTGGGAGTTGCATTCTTTTCGATTCTCCTCTCCGTCCCTCCGGGAGCAGGGGGAGGGCAAGAAAGGGGGGGAAGTGAGCGAACGAATTACCTGACTGGGTTTAAACCACGACAGCTACTCAAGATCCTCCCCAGTTATGCTATTCATAAGTGTAGCCAAATTACTTTAGAAAACATTCATGCTTTCCAGTTTGAGACCACATATCCAGTTCCTCAAACACATTCAATCATAGGTGAACCAGAATTGTTCTTTACTCTTTAAATTCACATACTCATATGTAAAGAAACCAGACAACTGCTCTTAACTAGTACATGTTGCAGTGTTCTCTGGTAGGACATCTAAAATGACTGTGGACCATTTACATGAATAATGGATGTACAAAGATACTGAGAATCTCACACGAGTCTGCTTCCTGCTGAATTTAGAATTACACGGTTCCCAGCAATTCATCTCTGTGTTGTACGAAGTAGACACAGACAAGAAAGCCTCACCTTTCACCTTAATGTCTGCTGGGATATTAACTAAGTCATCAGTTACAAAATATTTTCTAAGAATTAACTTAAAGGATAACACTTTTATGCACCTTTCCTGCTAGGTAACACAAACAAAAAGACTTTTGAAGAGTATTTTATTGCCTGTGACATAATATAGGCAAATGGCTGCCAAGAAAACAATTGAGATATTTACCTTTCCATCTTATTAATGAGACTTGGTATCTGGGCTGCTGCTGCATTTATAAGAGCAGATGCTTGAGAATCCCTTAACCGTATCTTACTTATGAGATACTCTCTGTAAGCAAATCTTCTACTCAGATGATATTTCTTGCTAGCTTGCAAAAAATCCATTAGCTCTTCAATGTCTCCCTACAGGAAAGATTGTGAACAAATGTATTCTATTAGATGTAAATTTCAGCCAATACCTGTGGGTAACAGACCAGATTTATTCGTTAACATGGTAAAGTTAAAAAGCTCTTAGAAGTGAAAAGCAATAAACTTATATCAGCTTGTCTCTAATGAACACGTCAAATTACTACAGTGATTTTAACAAAACAAAATAAATAATAATGTGCTGAGCTTCTGGCCTGAATATCTCAGTACTGTGTGTACTCTCTTGAATAGTCAGTGCACCTCCCAAGAGCCCTGATTTAACAGGTCATTTGATCAGGTACCCACAATTAAATACACATGCAGCCTTCCAGCGTTAGTAGAACTGTTCCTGCTTAAAGTTATCCACAGGCTAAACAGTCTTCAACTGAGACGTGAAGAGAGCATGTGTTCAGTAACAGCAGTAAGCGGCACCATGTCTCTTTTTTTTAAATTCCTTTTTTTCTTTACAATGCGTTTTATGACTAAATAAAGGGTAACATTTTCAAAGGTGTTTAAACTGACTTCAAAGCCAAGAAAAAGCTTTTCACGTGTGTCTAGTATAAGAGCAGCAAAAGCCAAGCCTGCTGAACACAGGCTGGCTTAGAAATTTCCTCCTTCCAACAGATGGGAACAGCAAAGGTTTAGATACATACAGATGAGTCTGGCAGATACCAGCGGTACGCACACAATGCTCTACAGCAGGTATTCTTCCAGCATCAGCTAGCCAAGACAAAGTCTGACACTTAGGTGACCCATGCCTGAGCAGCTGAAACACTGTGAAAACTTCTTTTACTTGCTCTGTCTTCTGCTGGCTGCTCAAGTGTCTTTTGCACAAGTGCTCTACCTCTGACAGTGGCCCACATGCTTAGGAAATATTACCCATGAAAACAGAAGTCAGCACCAAGCACATACTGTTGTGGCAACCATGTATAACTCACTGGTTTAGAAAAATGTTTTTCACATGCATCAATGTACAGTTATATAGATTTCTAGATGTGTATAATAATTGCATTATACATTTTAATATTCTTCCTAAAAAAAATCAGCTATAAAAGTGATAAAATTCACCCTGAAATATATTTTCTGAAACACTTCTCAAAAATTACTGTGTGTTTGTATTCTGTCATTAGGTTAGGAATGGAATTATCCTATTACCTGTATTTTAGAGTAACCTTCCACTAACGTTTTAGCTGCTTCCAACTTCAGTTCTCCCTTGAAAGTAGCATTTGTTATCTGTGTAAAAAAGATATTATGGAGCTCCTTTCTCTGGCAAACAGCCAGCTCTCTATAAGCCTTTGCAAAATATTCCTCCTGCTTTACCAGAAGGAGCCTCTTCACATGGTCCTGCTCCAGTGTGTGAAGTCTATCCAGAAGACTTCTGTATTCTACAGCAGGCTGCAGAGAAGAGAGAAATAAATAGATCCAAAGTGATTTTCAGTATTCAACATATTTTAAATTATTAGTGCTACCAGCTAATACATATTTTACTCATACCCTGATTACCATAACTTCAGGCTTAAATGAAGGCTAATGCTAATTATTATAAATGAAGGCTATACTAATGCATGGTTTTCATCTGTTTGGAATGACAGAGGTTGTACAGCTGTCAATCTCTAATCCAGATAATGGCTGAAAGGCATAATGAAGTATTTTTAAAATTTGGAAGCATTATTTAAAATAAATTATACAAAACGGCATGAAATTCAATATAAAGACTATATACATGAAATCAATTTCTTAGGTTTCATCAATCCTGAAATCCTATTAAAACTGAATAGACTCAAATAAGTCAGAACAATGATGCAAGAATAAGCATACAATTTAAAAACAGTACAAATTAGAAAAAAATATTCTATGACAAATCTCTAAAAGTTCTTCCTATTGATGACCTACTTTATCTATTGATTTCTACAGATTAATGCAAGAGCATCATGTTAGAGTTACAACAATGGAGTATAATTAAATGGCAATTAATTTAAAAGCTTCTTTGCAATAAATACTTTCTTGCAATTCTCCAGTAATACTTACACATTCATAGTTTTAATCTCAGATGGTATAAACTCATTACAGAATCAAAATGCACATGTTCCACAGAGCAAAGGATGCTGCTTATGCCAGCAGAGCTACCTAATGGTAGCTGTGTTAGTCTTGCTCTAAATTTAATGCTATTTATCTGGGGACAACTGTCCTCTGCACCTCACCCCTCATTCCCAAGAAACACACTGGAGACAGCAAATAATTAATCAAAAAGGCAGGGAATATACACACTCTGTGTTCTGGCTGAGAGGGGAGGAGGTTATTGCTCCAGCTGTTTTTCACTGCTATCTCTTGGATGATAATACACCCACTGCCATGACCGCTGGGCCAAGCCTAGTGCTCTGGTATGTCCTTTTAGACAGCTTTCCCTGGCAAGTACAAACCCAGGTCCTTTCACAGACAGGAAAGTGAACAGCAAGACAACAGTATAAGATAAATACATCAGGAAAAGTATTGGACTGGCGTCAATTCTTTAATTCCTACCATACAGGATTTCCAATATAAAACACTGGAACTGAATTGGGACTGAACCAATACCAGTGTATTTTGTGCAAAACAAAAGCCACTTTGCTCAGAAAGTATTTATTGTGAGTTTCCATAGTCAGTCCCTTCTCTGCAGACTTTATCAGGTAGTGTTCAAAGGATTTATCAGGAAGTGTTCAAAGCTAGGCTGGATGCAGTTTTAAGCAACCTGGTCTAGTAGAAGTTGTCCCTGCCCATGGCAGAGGGACTGGAACTTGATAATTAAAGTCCCTTCCAACTGAAACTATTCTAGGATTCTATAATCTCAGCAAGGTGTTAGACATCTAAGTTCCTTCTATAATCAACAGAAGGAAAAGGACTTCTGCAGAATACAATTTACCTCATCCTTAAAAAGATGTACATGACTATCCTTTCCTTGCTGTCTCTTCTGACTTTTCTATGCTCATATCCTACTTGAAAGCTCTCTAGAGTCAGAAGTTAAAATTCACCTGGAAATGTCAAAGAAATTCAACTGGGTCACTAGCCTTGCACCATCAACCCTGTCCATGCAGCAGCCTTATAAAGCAAAGTACTTCCTGAGAGCTTCAACATACTCAGCAAAAATCTTTTGTCAAAACTTCAATCATGAATTGTCATAGAGGTCCTAACAATTATGATATGCAAATAAAACCACTGCTTAAAAGAAACTAAATCAAAACAGAAGGCCAAAAATTTAAGTACTGTCTGCAAACAGAGCACACAGAAGTAAGCAATATACTGATCTAAGGGATTATACTCATAATACTCATGTATCCGTACAGCTCTATTTCCACACAGACTACCTACAACCCTGAGCAATGACCCTTACCCCTTCAGAGAGAAATCTCGAGTGCAAGTGACACATAAAAGCACTAAGCTTTTACTTAAAGAGAGACTCTAATCTTGCTAAGAATCATACTCTGCCTTAAATTATTTATCTCACTGTTATCTAGAAGCTATTTCCAACAGAACTCCACTTCTTGCTCTGCCTAAAATACAAATGGTTTTGCTTGCCTTCAGGTTGAAGGAAATCAGCCTTTGGTTGCACTTACATTCTCATTTTCTTCAAAGTAAGAATATAAATATTGGAGGCTTTTTATCTAGATTGGAAGGTTTATGATGGAGAGAGTTCTGCTCCGAATGTGCAAAGTACTATATACAGTGTCTGGCTGGAGTTCTTAGAAACCATTGCAGTAAAATACAGTAAATAAAAATACACCACTTCGTAAGGGTTCAAGTGACTATAGAAAGATCATGGTAATTACACTCTTTTGTTTTCAGGTGTCACAGATGCTCTTGAGATACATTCGTTTTCTGGTTAAGTAAAAAACAGTTTCTCAATAACAACTACCCTAATTATGGCATCTGAATGTTTGAACACATTTAAATTGCACAGTTTTCCTCTTTTTTCTTAGAAGAGGACAACTCAGCCACTCTAGTCTAAAAGAGAAACCATCTATATAAAACTATGCATCATGCAAAACGTTTGATTTTGTAGCAGGTTCACCTTTTCATTCATTTTCTTCATTAATTCCTCAGCCTCTTCATTTACAGCTCTAGCTTTTTGGCACTGAGCCTCCATTTTCTTTCTGGTTTCTAGATTACACTCAGCTGTTAAAGCCACCATCTTCCTTTCATATTCCTCTTGAATCTCCTTCTCCATTGCAAGAAACTGCTTTTTGAAAATTGAACTCATCTTCTTCTCCACATGAGGAAAGAGGCTGTGACTTAAGACCATGTTCTTCATCATCATAGCAATCACTTCTTTGCATATCTGCGTTCGATATGCCTCCAGATCGGCATCTGCCCGTGTCAGGCTGGCAACCTCCAAGCTGTAGAAAGGTAATCAGAACTGTTTGAAATTGCAGATTATAGGAGATTTCTTTCAGAAAACAACCATATCTAGATTCATTCAATACTGGGTAATCGAATGACAGTCACAGAAGTGCAGGAATATCACTCACAGCATATGAGCTTACTAATCATGATTTTAATGATTCATTAAAAAGCACAGTGAGCCAATTTCTACTACAGCAACTTTAAGGAAATATGTCCATTCCTGCATTTCTGTTTTCTTTAAATTCAAAACATTCCCTCAGCAAAAAGCAAACAATAACCTCCCAGAAAGAAACCAAATCAAACCAAACAAACTTAAAACCACCACACCCCTGCTGGGAAGTAGAGGAGGTAAGTATCTGAATAGACTACAGATTTCACTGACTATGTAAAAAAGTTCTAAACTCACTGACCCATCTACATTGATGCAGCAATGCCTTGTGTTCTGCACTGGTGTATTCCCTTGCCTGCTGGGAAGAGGAGTGTTTTGATTATGTGCTGATACAAATAAATTAAAATAGGTGATCTCTTTCTCTCATTAACAGAGTTCTAGAAGAGATTAAATCCGGACAGGTTTTTACAAAATGCAATAAACAGCATGTTCCATATGAATACATTCTCATTTATCTTTAATTAAATTGTAATCATAATTATTCTTATTTCATATACAATGTAACTACTGTAAATTTTATAGCTGTGCCTATTCTGCACTCAATTCAGCACTGGAAAACTAGGTGGATTTTACCCTGGCATCACAATTTACATGAACACACAGCACTATATGCTTCTGTGTGGATTAAGTATACAGGAATAAATTTGTGTCCTACAAAGTACACTTTTAAGAGCTTAAATCCATTCTTTTTCAGTTAAGGTAAATTATTGGTTTGTTCTGTTACACAGTCAAATCTTAGAATAAATTTCAACTCCATAGCAAAGATGTTGGCAAGATTTGCAAGGCAGCAGAATGACAGTACATTCAGAATGGATTATCTTGAAGCATGCAAATCTATAAAAACCTCACCTTTTAGTCAAACTCTCCTTATGAAGCAAATAAAGTTTAAGTAAATCAGTGATATATTACCATCACTGCCTCTCAGTCAAGCACAAGAAATCTATTGTCTCCATTTAGAAATCAATAGGATAGAATTAACTTGTTTTTTTTACACTGACTCAAATACCTGAAGTATCTAAGAGACATTAGCTTTTTCTGTTGCAGTCTCTCAAAACCCTTGAAATGCACTGGCAAAGGCCACACTTGTCTTGGTGATCTGCTGCAGGTCTGTCTGGTTGCAGCTGCAAATCCTTCCCCATTTCCCCTGGCTCTTCATCCCATACAGATGCAGGAATCATTGCTGCATGAGGCCAGATCCCTGCGTTTGAAATACTGTGTGCCTGAAGCATTCTTTGCAGTAATTTGAAGATCTTCTGAGTTATTATTTTCTGTAATATCCCAAGACAACAAAACACTCCAGCTCCTCTGTGCACCTGCAGGTACACAGCCTTCTTGGGTGGCCTTCAACTATATTCATGGTCAAGTCCCCCAGAGCGCTGATCTCTTCTTTGGGAGAGTCCCTCTTGCTCCAGGACAGTGGGGCAGCCACATAAGACAGGTGATGATGGCAGGATCAAGGGAACAGGATCCTGAAACAGCACAACAACCACTTCAAATGGGTGGTGCAGATGTGTATTTTCTTTTAAGTCTTTTTGTTTACAGAAGTTCTAGGCCTTTTGCTGGCATAGCCAGTTAGTACTAAGCTGTTTACTTGTTACAACTAACTTCAAAAGTGTTTCAGTTCTGTGCAAATGCACTTAAAAACAGGGATCTGGAAAAAGGAGCTTTTATGCTTTATGAACGTTCCTCTAACAACTGTCAGGCAGTGGTAGCAGGCTCCCTTTCATAGATTCACTAATTCATTATTAGCCTGTAAAAACCAAGCCTCTGGGTTTGTTTTACTATTTAAATTCCTGCTTCAAGTCTAGTAGCTCTGATTTAATTGAAGTATATCTTTTGTAAGAAACATCTCATCTTGGTTTTCAAGCATCCCCTAATAGAGAACTAAACAACACTTTAATTAATTGTTCCACTTGGTAATTCTTTTAAGACCTAAAAATGGTCATCTTATCCTCAGCTTGAATTTGAATAGTTCCAACTTCTAGCTCTCTTTGTTTGCTAGAATAACAAGCTCCTTAGTCATTATTTTTCTGTTCTTCATGCGTGCACTGATTGATCGTGGTCACAGCAACTACAAACCTTTTCTTACTGAGGTGTGAAAGGCTGAATTCCTCATCTTTCTCCAGTCTCCAGTTCCACCATGTTGATACATAGCTTGTAACACAACATTTATTTCTTATCACGCATGCAGGATATTTTTCAGCATGCTTTGAAAAGAGATTAAGCCATTCCTCACCCACCCCCCTGATTGTTACTTTTCCAGTCTTCCTCAGTAGTGATCCCAAGAATGAAAGCCAAAACCAAATACCATCACATTTCCTATTGTTATCTTTACCTCAGGCTTCCCACACCATCTTGCTATTCCCTGCAAGTCATTACAGACTAGACCTGATTTCATGTTGAACAAGATTGCCATGTTCTTTCTCACCCATAGAGAGAAATATGGTACCAAATTAACTCCACTCCCCAAGATCATGATGCCAAATACAGAAGGAGCAATAGGTGCAGTTCAACTGATGCTGATGTGTCAGCAAGTGAGTGATGAGGCTGTTAAGATCTGAGGTGTATTCAATCTGCAAATCCCACGCTCAGCACATCTGTGAAGAAGGCAATGAAGCAGAAGCAGCATGTGAACTGTTCCACCAATCCAAGGGTTGTAGCAGGGAGAAAAAGTAATTACAGCTCTCCCAGGTCACATCCTGGAGGACAGCAGCCAGACCATTACCTTTTCTCAGCTGAAGAAAGGTTGTGTCTGCAAAAACTATAAATCTACCTTCCACATGATGTGCTTTGCTTCTGTTCTGCCTTCTCCACCCAGCAGCCAGTGGAGTGAGACAAGCTCATCACATCCTCCAGGAACCTTGCTTCAGGTTTTTACTCCAAATGAGAGGTTGAGGGCAGCCTTAACAAGCTGCATCAATACAGTCTTGGAGCACCAGCAGTCAGTACAAACTGCAACCCTGGACATATAATAAACCAAATGCTTTCAGACATAAGTTCACCAGAAGAACAATGCTTACAATCATCTAGATTAAATGTGCAATGTTTTGTGACACCTGGAAAAAAAAATCCTAACCTGACACTGTGCCTCCTCAAACCACAGTAGATCTAATAAGTTGCTTTAAATGCTCTGCACTCTGCTTGTTACAGCAATTCATGTTTAAAAGGTCTTGCATCTCTCCCTGAACAAATTCAGCACAATAGAAATATAAGTCAATGAAGTACAGGCAGCAGATGGCAAACTATTGATGAAAAAGATGAAAGCTTCTGTTGGGCAAAGCAGACAGAGAAAGGCTGAGGACAGTACAGAAGTTATGTGGTACAAAAGTACGGGGAGAGGAAAGGTGAACAGACATGTAGAAAATGAAACTGCAAACAGCAACTGTAAAGATATTTCACTCACTTGAAGAGGAAAAGGATTTACAGATCTGTCAGAGAAGATCTGGGAGGGGAGAATCCCAGATGCCAAAAACAGAAGCAAAGAGAATGCCTGAGCATCTGATGTCCTTCACAGACCTAATAAAAGAATACAGGAAAGCAGCTAAGGTCAGGAAAGATACAGCTATAGTTAATTAAAAAAAAAAATACACCACAAAAAAGGAAACCTCTCATGAACTACAAAATAATTGTGTCTTTAAGTTCTATTATTCAAATTAGAGGCTTGCAGAGAGAATTTTTGAATAGGAAAATTAATAGCTCCTGAATTTAACAGTCCTAAAATGAACTAAGCTTTCAGACACAGAGACACAAACAAACTCAGAGTTCACAGAGATAATAAACTACTGTGAAACAACTCTGTGAAGTCTACAGAGGAGAGAAACATCAAGCAAACTCCCCTTCGGTGACATTTCCTCACCAAAACAGGAAAACCTGTCTTTCAGAAGACTTAGCTCTCATCTTCAAACGATAGCCAATTAGTAGCATACATATTACAACAGCATCCAGAGGAGACTGGAGTCCTGTGGTAGCAGTTTCGGCCAAAGCATCCCTTCATGATACACAACGCTTCCAAAAAGCATGTAGCTTAGGGTCATTTGTGGATGGTTTCTCTCCAGTGTCCTGGATGCCTTGCTGCAGCAGTGACTCAGAGCACCCTGGCACAGCAGCTGCACCAACTCCTGCTGCAGAGAGGAAGGCAGCCAGGGAAGGAGAGACAAACACACAACCACCCCCAGTCGGTGGCAGCCACTGCTACCACCTGAGCCAAAGTAGCACATCTCCTGCACCCATGGGCACAGTGGCAGTGGGACAGCTGCAATGAGGAAAGAAGTGTTAAGGTCCATGTCGCCTTGTCATACTTCAGAGAAGTGAAGCTGGTGAGACGGTCAGGCAGGGATAAGCAATGAAAGCCAACTGAAGTACAATGGGCATCAAGGGTCTTCAGCTGCAGATGTGGTTTGTTTCCTAAATCATCCATTTACTGAGGGATTAGTAATACAGTATCAGTAATTTAGGCTGTGTTTTGGGTTTTGTGTTTGGGTTTTTTTTCCTGTTTTTTTTGGTTGTTTTGATGTTGTTGTTGGCTTAGGTTTTTTGATTATTTTTGGTTTGGTTGGGTTGGGTTTGGTTTGAAGTACCATGACAATGTGGACCCTGTGTGCAGTGCTGTGGTTTCCTCCCTTCAGCCTCTCCCTCCTTTTTTCTCTCCTCCACTTTCCATCCTCTCCCACTGCGTCCCGTGACAATAGAGACTGGAAACACTTCAAGGCAGGAATTTACATAGGTTGCATTACAACCAGACAAACATTTGCAGGAGACAAACTGCTAAAGCAGAAGCAGAGATAATGGCATGAAGTCTGAACGGCCACCAACTGCCCAAAACCT